TTAAAAAATGTAGGTATTCACTTTGTTTATTTCAATAGTTTTATGTTTAAGTTTTAAAAATTAAATAAAAATCATAATCTAATATCACTTTATTATGATCACAATTTATTTCAACAGTCTTGTTTTAGAGTTAACTGATGTTGGGTACAGCGAGRCAACAGTATTTATTTGTCTCACTGTGTACTGTCTCACTGTATACCGATCTATTATTTTGCAGATTTTTTATTATTCTCGTATGAATATTTATGATAAACAATTGYGCATATAAATAAATTGTGCACAAGAAAAATTTAATTTATACATACCTTAAAATATGTAACTTTGAATAAAATTCGATACCAAAATTGAAAAAAACGAAGCTCACATTTTTTGATTTTGATAACAATATATAAAAAAAAATAACAATATTATGATAAGATGATAGTATCATTTTTGACCTGAACTTACTAATAGCACGGATATAGCTACTAGTATCTATATCCGTGACTAATAGTTATAACCATTATGTTTATTATGATTTYATGAATCTTCTGGATTMTCCATCTGATGGTTAAATATTAAATTAGTCGACTTATATTTAATGGATCACTGTGCCCCATGTCTCACCGTGGCCACCTCTCCCCTAAGCACGAACACACAAGACTACATAGGTTAGTGTGGTCATGGGGGAGGTTCAAACCCCACGACCCCCCCTTGAGTACGCCCCTGGTGTGATGCAATCGTAGCACATCGGAATACATTTTTTTTCATTAAGTACGTTAAATATGTTGATGTATTGCGTTTGTAGCGAGATTGACCGACACAATTTTGCGTTGCAGTTTGGAATACCACGAATATTGGTAAGTTTCACAAGCATTTCATAGGTATAAACCTACCTTGTTTCTATTTTSCAACTTATAAAATACTTCTACTTCATCCTAACTATAATGAAAAACATTAATTTTAAATTCATAAAATGTGTAACTACATATTCGACTAAAATACCGAAATGGCATAGGTACTCGTCTATCAAAATATTGTAAATTTCGTTTTTGTTGACGCGGACTGATCGAACTAGTTTGAGAATTTGAGATTATTCTTTTGTCAGTTCTTGTATGGCTGTATGGTTGTAACTTGTAGATGTATAACGACAACGATGACGGTTGTAAAATTTTCTTTTTTATTATYAAGGCATTACAATGAGTAGGTAAGTGTACGGTGTACGATTGCCTATATTGGTACTGGTATAACTAGCTGCCAACGTATACAAATATGTGACTTCCGAGTTMMAACCRCAATCAGTACCTACTGATTTTAGTTCATTATTTTAATTGTAATTGCGCAACATCGTTGCGATTCTGTTTCAAAGAAACATGCCCGAAAACGCTTAAGCCATAAAGCAATGTGTAGGTAAGTCCGGAGGTCGCGTCCAAGAGTCAGGGCAGTCCTGAAAAGCGCCATAATTTCAAGATATAATTGATATTGTTCGAAAATCGATAAATGCGTCGATACATTGTCACGAAGGTGTTATATTTTGATCAGCTGGTTTGTAAGCGCACGAAATTAAAAACAATAATTTATATTTATGTATATGCATTATAATTTTTATAATTAGTTTTATATCCATGTACTTGTGACGTGACAATAYTACAATAATAAACGCGATTGGACGTAGGTTACTAGTTGCAGCTGATGATTAATATATATATATATATATATATTCTATAACAATAATAATATGTGCATCGCACAATATTCGCACACGCTTTGTCACAACATAGTATAGAGGCTGCTCTATAGCTACCTCACTCAGGCGCTACCGCAACCGCTCCCCTCCCATCACTCCTACCGCTCCGCACACCCATCCGATCGTTAGTGCCGCCGCGGACAACAACGTTGCTATTATCAATTCCCCCCCCCCYCGCGTCAATCAGCCGCGCAGTACAACAACAGAGGCCGTCGCGATCGTCGTATCGTATCGCCTGTTTTTCTCTCTACTTCCCGAACCCATCGCGAACAAAAACGTTTTCGTGTTTTATTATCGTCCCGTCGTGTTTTCGTAATCCGACTACACAATAACATATTATTATTACCTAATTATACGTCTCAGTGTCTCACAGTCTTATACGCTGCGGTGACTCGTTCGCGGTCGTCTGCTGTCCGACCTTTGTGACTGTTGTGAACCACTTACTTAAGTACCATCATTGTTGCCGACGTCGTCCACACGTATCTACGTGCCTTCCATTCCAGTGTCGTCCGACGCGTCTCACGTTGTCTGCTCCTCGATGAACAACGTCCGATCCACATAATATCGTATCGGSTATATTATTATATTATTTCAGTGCGACATAATCTCAACATATAAACGTCGTAATAATATCGTCGTCGAAAAGAACCCTGACGATGACCGCTGCAGCGGGTGGTGTGCGTCTTGGCTGGCCGCTGGCCTTTTTCGGCCTCGTCGCGGCACTGCTGTCCTCCTGTAAGTATTGCACTACGATCAGGCGCCTGTAACGTTGTATGATATTGTAATATTACAAGTTATAACCGTGGCGTGCTATGTGTTCAGCTGCCCCTAGCTAACATTAACGTTTCATCTTTTCGTGCCCAGGTGCYTTGGCTGATGTTGAGACCGTCATCGTCCAAAGACATGTCCAAATGCTCGGTTTGCAAGAATGCACTTATGGTCCATTGTTTTGGTGCCAAAACATTACGTGAGTAAAAGTTACCATAGTTTACACAAACACCTACTGTAGAGGACATAATGGTAGGCATATATTGTATTTACTCTCCCGGGTATATTTGGCTACGTCACTGAATCATTTATTGTTTTTATGTAACAGTTTATTGGTTATGATTACACTTATTATAGGTTTGGATTATCAATAATACAATATTCATAACAAGTATTTCCCTTTATTATAATAGTGTACATAAATGTGTGCAAGATAAACATAATGCTTGTACAATATTTCAAAATAATATTTGATAGCTTGGTACTGTTTTCGTGCTTGTAATTGTTGACAATATCAATTTTAATATGACCAAAATTCAATAGTAATTTATTTAGTACTTGTTTACTTTTAGGTAATTCACAAAATTTTTTTAYAAACAAGAAAGTTATTCATTTGATAATTTAGTATAAATAATTGTAGTTTTCAATCTTGGGTGTACAATCATAGAATACATTTAATTACTTGATTACTGATTAGGTACCTTTATAATGTATGATTGATTTAAAATGAATATAGTATTATTAGGTATGTGTTTTTTTATAGTCAATATATTTTTATAAACCAATTATCATTTATCAGTTTTGAATTTATGATATCAAGTACCTTTAGATTAAGTGTCATTAATAATAATGATTTATGGAATGTATGCATTATCGGATGATATATTATATTTWACCAACGCTTATTTTACTTAATGGTTATTAAAAAAGAAATTATATATAAATGCATTCTTATCAATAAAATGTGCTATGCAAAAATTTACAATTCCAATTATACTTATTTATTATTTCAATTGCATARAAGTGCTATTAGTATGAGAAAACTGGATAACCCTGAAAAACAGGAAACTATACCATHCACTATACAGTATATTCCTACTGATAAGCCATTTATAACTAAGTCATCCTCACGTTACATGTCTTACTATAATAAATTGTATTCAGTTGCTTTAATAATATTTTTACATGCTTGGATATTAGATGGTATTTGTTAAATTTTCTATAAAATTAGTTCAATTTGGTTGTTAACTAAAGAACAATGAACTATATTGCTACAGCATAGAATTACACTATTATATTGTCTTTTTTCTCAAACTATTTTAGAAATGCTTCAGGAACAAAATATTACCACATCTATATTATAATTTAATAATTTAATCTAAATTGCTTATTAAAAAAAAATAACTTATAAAGTTATAACTGCCTGATTCAAATTAATTTGTTTACAACAGAATGATTTCTTAATTTCTATTTTACTGTTGATAGTAAATTAAGTATTCGATTAATTATTAAGAAATATTTATCTCACATTTATTTTATATATATATATATTATGATAGTTTTTAACACTTGTTCATTTCTAACCCACAGATCTAAACTTAAGATTAATTGTTGACATCAAGCCAACCATAAATTGGTATAAAGAGTATCTACTATTACCTAATAATTGTATTAATACAAAATGTAAAATTATTGGTTGGTATTGTATTATATTATTGCAATCGAAATGTGCCTGTACTATTTGTTCATCTGTTTTTATTTAAACATGTTGTCGTCAATTCAAATAATAATACATTATGCGATCCTTAATTTCATTTTATTTAACAATAATTAGTTTCTCATCACAAATTTCATATATTTATAAATTATGAATATCTTGCGTAGTTGCATCTAATGCAAGGAAAAAATTACTATTAAATAAAAAATTAAGTATGTTTTATTGACATAGTTATAAAATGTTGTTATACAACAATTTCTTTGTAAATTAATTAATTTAATATCAAATTTAAACTTAGACCTAGAAATTGTAATTGTTATAATATTTTATACAAAAATGTACCTCTCTCACCTATTCAATATGTTTATCTATATCTACATTTACATAATATAGACTGCCAAAAAACCTAGGCATCTCATATTCATATCAAATATCTTGTTCTGAATAATCAATTATTAATAGAACATATAGGTATAACATTTTTCTCTATTGGAATATTTCTACTTAACTGGCCATCCAATTTTTTAAGACTCGTGTAGTTATTATGTGGCCTCATATGCTTTGGCCAGTTTTGAGAGAGATATTGAGAATTAAATGGAAAAAATATGCACGGTACGGGATTTGAACCTGCGACTTATGCGCTGAACTGACGGCTGTTTAACAATGAGCCACCTTGATCTTATCATTTAAACTTCGATATTCTCTCACTTAGGCCAGAGTGGCAATATGTTCGGTTGAGAGAAGTGTAGAYGGTTACTATTGTGCTTGTACTTTAGTAGTTGCTGGATGTGTACCGTACTACCGTGTCAGTTAGGTATACAGTGAAACCTCTATTAATATTTTATAAACATATATTTTCTCAATAGTGGATATATTTTAGTTACTCAKGGCTGTCCACTATAATATATAGAGATCTCACTGTACTTAAAACAATGATAAATTCAGAATTTGGTAGTCAAACTGAGTTTCAATGTTTCAGAGATATTATGATGTTATATAGATATTAAATAACCGTATTAATCAATGACAACTTTTTTTTAARAATAAATATTTATATTTACTTTGCTTACAAATATTCATCTAACATTKCCAAGAGAAGTTAAATAATTGCTGTTTGAATTAGAATATTGAAATAATTTTTGGTGTATAATGATTGATTAAATATATAAACTGGAGTAATCAAAATTGTAATAATTCTTTTCAATTGACAACAAGTCTTGATAATTTTTTTTTTTAGTAATGCTGCTGGTTGTAATGCTGTCCAACATTGCATTCAAACAACTTGGGTTACACAGACATATCCAGAAGATAATGATGATATTTGTACTATTTGTAAAAATATGGTGAAAGAAGCTCGTGACACACTCACCAGTAATGTTACATTGGTTAGTTATTAATGTAATATGTTAAATATATCTACTACATTTTTGTTTACATATTTATGAGCTTAAATTAAATAACAAAAGTAACAAAAAAAGTATACAATAGTAGTTGTATTTATACTGAACAAAAAATATATGACTTAATAAAAAATTCTAGTTGTATGTAAAATAAATAATTACAGTTACAATAATTAAATGATYGAAATTTTAGGAAGAATTGAAAGAAGTCTTTGATGGATCTTGTAATTTATTGCCATTGAAAATGATTAAAAAAGAGTGTAAAAAATTATCGGATGATTTTATACCTGAACTTGTTGACACTTTGGCTTCACAAATGGATCCAAATGTTGTTTGCACTGTTTCCGGTTTGTGTAATAATGCACACATTGATAAGTTTCTGTTGGAAAATAAAGAAAAAGTAATTATAATTTTTTTATAACTTTTTTTATTTGTATTAATTAAATTTTATATAGGAGCAACCAGCAATTTTAAGTGAATATCATCCATGTGAAAAATGTGCTATTGTTATGAACAAAGGCGAAGAATTAGTACAGAGCATGTCTAGAGATGATATCTTGAATAGATTCTTAATGGTTAGTTTAGTAATAATTAATGAATATGTATTCAGCATTTTATCAATGTTATTTAACAAGAAAAATTTGTTTTTATTTTATGAATATTTATATGTTTAATTTTTTGTTAGATGTGTGGAGAATTGAGCAGTTATTCTGATGTATGCAGTAGTGTTATATTAACATATCACAATGAAATATACAATGCTGTTAAAAATGGTTTTAATAAACGTAATGTATGTATGTTGAGTGGCATGTGTTCAGAAGCATTCCATCCTCATGCTGATGGTTATAAAGTAAGAATTTAGTTACCGATTTAAAAAAAATAAATATTTTGCTATTAATACATCTATTTACAGAAATCAACAAATGCTTTGATGGGTGTTGAAATTAGTAATGCTGGTGAGCGAGGTAGAATTCAGATCCAAAAATCTATTGAAGTCAGTGATGAATTGACTTGTGAATTTTGTGAAACTTTGGTCAAACATTTAAGAGATATTTTGGTCGCTAATACAACCGAAGAACAATTCTCAGACGTACTWAAAGGTCTTTGCAAACAAACTGGAAGTTTCTCAACTGAGGTATTGTACAGATATATATTTATGTTTTGTATGTAATTTTTGTATTTAATATTATTATTTGTTTCAGTGTTTGGCAATAGTTGATGAAAATTATACGCGTTTCTATAAGTTCCTTGTTAGCGAATTGAACGGAAAAGTTCTTTGTACAATTGTTGGTATTTGCCCCAAATCTCTTAACTCTCGTTATGATCTCAACTATATTATAGTAAGTTAATAACTAATTTTATCAATGAAAATCATATTTTTGACTGATRATTGTATWTGTTGTATTCCTTTKTTTAGCCAATGTATCCCCTTGTTCCAATTGATGTTTTACAAACCCAGAAGGCCACTAAAATTGAAGAAAATAATTCATTTACTGCTAAAAAAGAACAGACTGAACATAAGCCTACACTTGTTGTAGTCGATGAACAGCCTCCTAAAGTGCAAAATATTAATGTCTTTAAAAAATCTCCAGTTATTGATGTGTTCTATAAGGAAATGCATTTTGTTGGTAAGATTGTATAAATTATAATTGTGTTAACATATTTTGTATTTTATATTTATCAAATAAAACATGAAATATGTGTAATTACTAATTTTACCAAATTAAATTTTTATATAGTCAATGATGTCAGTATGCCTACTGATAAAACTACATGTTTCTTGTGCCAATCAATTTTAAATTATGTTCAACAAGTAGTAACTGATCCAAAATCTGAAGTGGAAATCCGTACAGCATTAGAAAAGTCTTGTTTGGTTGTCCCATCATCATTTGAACAACAATGTAAACAGTTTGTCGACCAATATGGTGATGCCTTTATTTCACTTGTAGCTCAAGAAGTTGATCCATCAATTGTGAGTGTTCAACTATAGTTCCTCTTGTTCTAAGCATGACAATTAATTAATTAATTTTTTACTTTATTGATTAGATCTGTCCAGAATTGAAATTATGTCCAGTTATAGACTTGTCTTTAACTTCAAACAAAGATAGTGAAAGTTCAAATAATTGTCCTATGTGTGTTATTTTTATGTCAGCTTTAGAATCTGAAATTTCTAATAAAGACACAGAAGTAAGTGAACAAAGTACAATATAATTGTTATTGAGTAGTAAATATTTTTAACACGTTGACTGCCATGCAGCCGCCGGCGGCCTCAAGAATATTTATCATGGGTACGCCAAAGAMATTTTTCAGTGTCATTATAAATTTGTATTTGTATATAARCTATTGAATTTGAAAAAAAAAATTAAAAATACAAAAAAAAAAGTTAAGATTATGTTTATTACATAAACAAAATTGTAATTATTCCCACTACACCACAGCATATTTCAAGATCATTATTGTATTTTTTTTTATTTTAGAACCATCAGCTTAAACTATTACAGTTCGACAATTACATAGTACTTAAATTGACATTAACAATCATTATTGTAGCGCCATGGAAAAGTTAATAATATAAATCCAAATTAATTTACTGCAGCCCGCTGCTGTATGGCCTCTTACAAATGATATGGTGCGGCAGCCGGCGGTCTAAAAATTATCGATCCCTAATTATTATTATACAGACGCCGGCAACCGCATGGCAGTCAACGTGTTAATAGGTGGACCAATACCAGTTAACTACCTCTATGTCTATTGTCTAGCCGCCCAACCACTGTGACCAATTTACATACATGAATTAACAAAATACAATCATATATTATTTTGGATTATAGTCTAATTAGTATATAGTMTATGATCTAAGCATATAAAAATTAATTATATGTTATTTTAAATGTTGGAATTCATATTAAGTTGTAACTATAGTTAAAAAATTTTAAAAAAGTAGACAATTGCATACTGCTCTGCTGTACAATAGTTGTCAAACATTTCATTAAAATAKATGTGTTCTGAGTAGAGGCTTCGAGCATACTAATATTAAAATTAAATTATTAAAATAATATTTATTAAAATTGAAGATATCTCATTTTCAAAAGTAGAGTTACAAAAATAAATTGAATAGAATATTTCATGTATTCATGTATATTTCAAATATTTCATATTTATGTTAACTAAAAAAAATTTTTTTATACATTTTTGACTAAAAAATAATTAGAAAGTGTTTGAGATTTCAATAAATTTTGTCAAAATTTGAACTCAAAATGCATTAAAAAAATAACCAAGCCAATATATCTTTAATATTTTTGAATTCCCATCTAAGAAACTTATTAATTAAGAATAATTTAAAACAAATTTATAAAAATTGAAAAATATCTCAAGACTCTTAAAAAAAAAATATGGAACGTTCACAAATAATATAAATTTTCTCGGTTATTTGTTTTGCTTAAAAATAACCATTTTTTTTTTTCGATTTCGTCGCTTTCTAAAGCTACTGAAAATAATATACACTAAATACAATCATCTATCATCAAATATGGCGATGTCACAAGTCAAAACATTTTTTTTACTCTAAATATTGATGACAGAAATAAAAAAACACTTCATTATAAATTATAATATATAAATACAATACATTCATTTGTTACGCTAAAAATTTAAAATAACTAGTCCATCATATAAAGTATGGTTATTATATTTACGCTTTTGATATTTAT